AATCACATGGCTAATAACTTATAAAAAATTTATTTAAATTTTTATTTTTAAGCCGTGCAATATTTTTGTCCCCCCCCGGTATACTGATATTTAGGTTATACTAATATAACTTATTTAATATATTATAATATATCTTTACTTTAAAAAATCATATCTTAATTATAAAAATAAAAATCAATTTAAGATACTTTTTAAACGAAGAAAAGAGTTATTTTAATATATATACAAAAAAGATAATTTTATTTGAATTATTAAAAATGTCTTATTTAAGAATAATTTGTCACTTTATATAATATTAAGCAAAATACTATTTTTGATATTTTAAAAAATTAAAAAAAATAACTGAATGTAAATTCAGACTTAGAAGAGATAAATAAATAAAAAAAAAAGTTTGTTTACTTTTTTCAAATAAAGAAAGTTTTTTTCATTATAAATAATTAATGTATTTGTAATAAAACTTATTATTAATATTGACAATTTATAAGAAAAAGCTAATTTTTTGTATAGTAATGTGAAATTAATAATTTTGAGACTTTTAATAGATAAATTAATAAATTTAAAGAATATTATAATTTAAAAAATAAGATAAAGCAAAAAATATATTATTGAAAATATTTAAATAAAAAAAGAAAGATTTTATGTAAAATTATTAAAGATTATAATTTAAATAATATTTTTAATTATGATAAAACAGATAATTTTCTTTAAAATAATTAAATAATATTCTAACATCTATTATTTATTTTAAAATTATATTGGAATCTTAAATTTTTAAAGACATTAATACAAAATCTACTCTTTAAAAAAATTCTAAAAAAACATGTTACACTTTTGCTTATTTATAATGTAACAAAACTGAAAAAATTAAAGTTACTTTTTATTCATATATATCAAAATCAACAAATATTATATGAAAAAAAAGAAGATTTACTAATTAATTATTATTACAATTTAACTACCTAGTTGTAAGTCTTAATATGAAATGATTATCTTACAAAATTAAATAAATAGATATAATTATAAAATTGTTATATTTCTTTTATTAGTTAATAATATACCAATATATATATGATTATATATTTTTTACTACAATGATTATAAACTGTTTGATAAAAATTTTTTCACTTACTCATTAAAACAAAAAACCACTTTGCAAATACTGAAGTATTCCAGTTATTCTTTTACCAACCAAATTTAAGAAACCTTTGATCCAAATGCAATAGTATATATAATTTTGTGATACAGGAAATATTAATTCTTATTCTTTTAAAATCAAAAATAAATTTTTTAATATTTTTTATTAATTTAAAAACAGTAAACTTTATATATTAAGAATGCAATTCTTTAATAATTCAGGCATAATACCAAAAATTACTTGTTGAAATTAGAATTAAAACATAAAATTTCACAAAAATTGAGAAAAAAAGTTGTTCTACTAAATATTTATAATGCTATTAATTTTAGTAAAAATGCTTGTAAGTCAGCAAACAATTTTTAATTGTTAAAAACATACAGGAATTCTTTTATAAGACAAAATGGATAATGAAATTAAGGATTATGATAATCAAGTAATTCAAAATGAAATGGAAATACAAGAGCTATTCTATTTGATGATTCTATAGATATAGCAAATTTTCTTCATATTGATGATAATTTAAAAAGTAGTGAAGGGTTAACTGATGAAGAAATTGTATCTATGTTAAAATCTAAGAACACTGAAGTAACTGAATCAAAAATAGATTCAAATGAAGAATTTAAAATGATTTTAACTAAAGAAGCCTTGGGTTACTTGGATGAACTTGTTTCACTTTTTGAATATTTATCAGATACTTCTATTAATCCAGATGAATTAAATATCTAAAAGATATTAAGACACCAAGTATTGTCATTATCCCATTAATAACAAAGCAACCTAGATAGTTTTATTTAAAAATATGTACTACTAATCGGTTATGCTAATATATAAATAAATTTCAATTGTTATACCATAAACTATCAAATTTTATTAAATTCTGATCATCCGATATACTGATATTGTTTTACATAGAGGTCCGACTGTATACATAGGGTAATCGTGTGTATAATATTGAAATATATGAAACTTATCTATATTAAATCTACTATGGAGCCCAAAACTACAACACTTTACGCTCTCTTATAAAGCAAAAGCAAGGTGAAAAGATTGCTCCTTATATCTTCAAACTAAAAAAGCACCGCAGACTATTAAGAAATATCTGGATCAAGAACAGATAATTTATGAGGTTTACCAGGAGGAAAGGATAGAAAAGCCTCCTAAGCAGACATTGGCCAAACTCTTTCAAGAGCCAAGGAAAAAAGAAAATTAGAGAAATAGAGGATTTATGTATATGCAGGGGGGTAATCCTAATGCCTTTGCTATTTATGTGATAAAATGGTAATTTATAATTTTATTTTTAAAAAATCTATTTTTTATTTTATTACCTTATTGTTTTATTGTAGCGTCGCCACCATCACCTGTGCAGACTGCTGCGGAATTGCGGTAATATGCACGATGTTGCGTCATTATTTAGTAAATATAATATTTTGTAAAAGTATAAATATTCAATAAAGAATGGCATGACCAAGTTTAACAAAAAAAAAATAAAATAAAAAAATACTTTTAAGTGAATTTGAATTGTATAGTCTGTTGCTCAGTTGAAATGTTTTAATTAAAAAACCAATTTAGGGATTCATTTTATTTATTAACTTCATATTATGACCAAGATACTAAAAACATCGGATATACATTAAATTTTTCATAATTAACCTGACAAAATAATTCTTAACTCTTATTTATCGTTAACATATAGCAGGCTCAAGCATAGTGCACAGACATTGCATTTGTATCAATGCCGCTACCTATGAATCCAAACTTTCCAAACAGAAAGAATTAGACAAAAATAATGTAATACTTCAACACGTCTCACCTGCTTTATTCTAAAGTTTGGTTGGCTCTGTACTCCAGCTGGGTTTTCTGTGTCCACCATGGCTTGCGGATGTGTTGGAATTTGCGATGAGTAGGTACAACATCGTCGACGCCAAATATTTCATCGAACGGATGGTAATAAATCTGTAAGCTTTCGATCGCTCTGTCTCTTTCTCCATACATGTCCTATATAATTACCACAAAACATTTAGGAGATAAAGAAACTTTCTGATTAGAGGGAGTCATCTTACCATACAATATTTCAAAACCTGGATAGATCCTTTAAGCCTCCCGATTTGCTGAAGATTCGTTGGCAGCTCAAATCTGCCCCCTGGGAATACGACATAGTACTCTTGTGTTAGGTCTATCAGAAGCATTTGACCACTTGTACCAGCGATTTGAAGGAACGGTACGTTAACACCATCAATCTGCTCGTCCGTCCAGTTAAAACCCAACAAGTTGTTCAAGATGGATTGATTTATTCGAGCCGAACGACAGCGGTCACCAATGACCTTGGCGGCTGTAGCACGCGCTGCAAATTCCCATTCTCCTAGGTCTTTTCCCGACCTTGTCAAGAACCGAACGTCACATCGGCGGCCTTTGCTGTAAGCATCACTTCTGCTCGGCGGGCAAAACGACTCACCCCTTGGAAACGCATATGTATAATCAGTAAGCGTCGTAATATAGTCAGTCTGAATAGGCAATAGTTGATAACCAACCATTTTGAATGTATTTGGGAACCTTCCATCAGCGCCTCAATGATATACCAACATGCCTTCAATATGGCATCTATTTCTGTGGATTCGTTATGGCCTCCACAGCTCAGAATATTGTCCGTATTCTTGCTTTTAAAAATGCTACATATAAACAAGAGTTAGAATCATGAAACCAAAACGACAATTTTCCCAACAAATTAAGTAATGCTCACAAATCGCTGTAAATTTTGCCGACTTTATACATACAGCTTTTTTCGTCGGATTCGTCAATCTTTTTCAAGCACATGCCGTGTGCTTTCTTCACTTCTCTCCTGCGAACCATCTGTACAAAAGACAATAAACATGTAATAATAGAATGAACGAGAAACCGGCAACAAAAAATCCACTCACGTCTTCTACTGTTAAGATGAACGTATTGACGTCTTCCGGAAGATCTGGAACACGGAGAACAGCCTCGTGTTTTTTGGTCATGAACTTTTTATCTTCTATAGTAAACCATCCTTTCATGTGAGCCGACAAATCGATAATATTCGATGCTCCATAACGTAAAGTGGCCTTTTCAATTGCTGTTGGCCGTTTTTTGTGCTTGAATGCTTCAGAATTGTTGCCAATCTTTTCCACGAAGATTTCTCCAACGTTTTTGCCAGATGGGAGAACCCATTTATTCTCAGCTTGACCAAATAAGAGGGTAGCCTCGTCCGGCAAAGGTGCATCTTCTTCATCTTCATGGTCGATCTTTTGGAGATTGCCTTCGTCTTTACGGTTTTCAACTTCATCTTCGTCGTCGTCGTCTGATGGCACAAGGCTCAGCAAAGGGGCCTTTGGGATAGTAGCTGAAACAGACTAAACGGCAAGCTATGTCAATAAAAATATATTAAATAGAACTGACAATTTTGCTTACATGTGGCCTACGTCGCTTTGGATGCTTTGAAGTCAGATCCTTTTCCTATTAGTTTGGAATGATGAAAAGTTAATTAATAAATGTCCCAACAGCTTCTTTCAAAAGGTTCCGTCACGCACTTCACCCGGGGTCTCCTCTCCTTCAATCACGTCATCACTCTCTTCCCACTGTTCGAGTCGTGTACGCTTAATCGGAGTGACGGGCTTGGACGGGGTTGGCGAAGGCGAGACTGGTTCCATTTCTTCTTGCGATTTGTAACTGTATAAAAAGATTAATTATAGAAACCGATTTGATACAATTGAATGCCAAAGCAAATTACTTACTCATCACTACTTGTCACCTCAGATCGACCTTTTCCCCAAAATCTATCTCGGGTGTCGTTGTTACGAGCCGCCATCCACTCAACCTGTTTAGTAATTGTTCTGATTTGAGTAGATTCTACAATATTCCCTGTTCAACTCCATATCACATGACAACTCACCTGCCTAAAGGAGTCTTTTGCTATGATTAATGCTTCCTGATTTTTGAGAGATTGATGCTCTTTCTGCATTGTTACAAGTAACCACCACTCGCAAACATCATTTGGAATCTTTTTCTTTCAATAAAATAAAATAAATAAGACTGAAATGGATCCAGCTCAAAAACGACAACAATTAAATATGAAGCCATCATTCCAAATGTGCAAACAGCCATATGCTCAGGACGGCTATCCAGCCATGTCTCCAGCAAAGAGATGTCCTAAAGCCCAAACTTCTACAAAGCCTGTTCGGTTATGACCTCAGCTGCATGCCCAGGACGGCTATCCAGCCATGTCTCCAGCAAGGAGATGTCCTAAAGCCCGAACTTCTACAAAGCCTGTTCGGTTGCAGCCTTCATGCTACTCACTCTAGCAAAGAAAAATCACTCACCAAGCGTTGCTGAAGACGAATCGCCGAATTCAAAGCGTTTGTCGCAAAAGTGTTTAAATCGTAGTCTTCAGAATCCACACTTCTACACCGAGAAATCACATAGTTGAGAAGTTCCTTGAAATATTTGTGCCATCGTTCCTGTCGATCTTGAGACTTTATGTTTGTCGGAAACAGGGATTCTCCCTTCTCGTTCATCCATATCAGAAAATCGAGCTCTTTCCACTCGTTCGGCTTCCTTTCTTTAAAGTACTCTAAATACTCTAAAAACACGGATACAGAGATTTACAAAAATTCTGGCTCTCCACCAACGTAAATCTTTAACCTACCAAAAGAGCCTTCTGAAAATATCTTTTCTGCATGGTTTACCATCGTTGCAAGTGTGAAAATTTACTTTTATTTTAAGTTGTAAATAAAATATTTTATTTTAGCTTCAAATACACAAATATGAATAATCCGAATTCAACCGGTTGAAGCCGGTTGAATTAATTTTTGTTATGTTCGTTGTTTGAGTCGATGCGATTTTGTTTACTACATTTGTTTGTTATGCACGAGATTGTATACCTTTTTGCTGATCGATTATGTTATGACTCAATGGTTTCCATTACTAGTAAAAATATAGATTAAATTATCGTAAAGCATATAAACCAAAGATGACGATATTGACGATTTTTATTGTAGTTTAATTTATTCAATTTATTCATAACATGTTTCAAATGGTACATTGTAAAATTATGAGCAAGTCTAGCTAAATATCAAAACTTAATATACAAATTGCTTAACCTTACTTAGATGCAAATAAAAAGGTTTAATTTACTAACAAATTAAAGTTTTGGTTAATTTATTTATTAAATAAAAGTTTAATTAGTTTTTTTGAAATTTCTAATTTTAATTGAAAATAAAAAATTTTGAATATTCTTTTTTTCTCTTACTAATTTAATTTTAAAATGGAAGATTAAAGTTGATACTACAACTATTTGTAAATTGGTGATAAATAAACATCACAGGATTGCAACTAATTGCATTGCATTCTTTATTTTTAGGTTCATTTTAAAATAAATTAATATTATTTTGCTAATGATATTTTATCTCTTAGATTTGTTTAGCAGGCAAATTTGCTTGTAAAGTGTTGATTTTTTAATAAAATATTAAATATTAATTTTAGTAATATAGTAATTAAATGAAAAATATAGTTTAATATATTTTATCAATTTTATTAAAAGAAATTTTAAGTTTATCAAGAAGTTTTTTAATTTAATTTTTAAAATTAAAATTAAATTTTATTATGGATGATTTTAACACTCACTGGAAGTAAAAATTCACTGGAGGTGAAAATCACCAATTATTAATTATCCCTTCGTCTGTAATACAGGCAAATTTGCCCATAAATATAAAAAATGTATTAATTTTTTAATAAAAAATAAAATATTAATGTTAATAATATAATTATTATATAAAAAATATAGTTTAATATAT